AAAAAAAAAAAAAAAAAAAACTGTGGGAGAAAGCATTTTGAGGCACATTCTGTGACTCCCAGTTTTTTTGCCCTCAGTATTATAAATAAAAGAACAACTTATGTCAGTCAAATTTAATAGAATCTCGAGGGGCAAAATGAGATCTTTTGCAGGACAACTTTTGGTTTGTTTTTCTGAAGAGTGGAGCCATTACATTCCCTACTGTCTCTCCATTTATGTTTAAAAGAAAAAAAAAATGCCACAAGTTGAAGCAAATCAAGTTTACACTGTTACGGATTACAATATTCTGTTGTGTTAAGCTCTGTTATATTACTACTGTACATTGTCTCTGCTGTGGGTTTTGACTAGATGGTAAATGAAGTTTGGAGAAGATGAATTCTTTTCAGTTTGATTTATTCAGGAAAAAAGTCCTCTAGAAATTTGTAGCAAAATATGGTTACTTTTAGAAAATAAAGACCTTCCTGTTCACATTTTGTAAAGAGGCACGAAAGAGATTGAGATTAGACCCAACGACCAGTGTTTCACAGTGCAGGCAAATGGTCTTGTTTATTTTATTTTGAATATCTGTCATTTTAAAACATGGATTCTTTAATTTAGGTTTAAATAATGAAGAGTATCAAGTAGTCATCGGAAATGACACAACTCATTATATTATTGATGACTTAGAGCCTGCCAGCAACTATACTTTCTACATAGTAGCATATATGCCAATGGGAGCCAGCCAGATGTCGGACCACGTGACACAGAATACTCTAGAGGATGGTAAGAAAACATGATTCTAGATCATTTCGTTATGAATGTTCGTATGTTTTGTCAATTTCAGTGAATAAATGTGTTTTAAAGAAAATATATTCTTTTTGGTTAAAAAACAGGTGTGTTAAATTTGCCATTCAAAATCTCATTCTTGCTTTTTGCCAGTAGCATGGTAAGGATAAAGAGCACTTTCAGAATATAAAATTCAATAATAAAATTCTTATATTCCCATTATATTTCTTCAAAGGTTCCTAGTTTAAATTGTAAATATGTTGCAAACTTTTTTGTACTGAATAGAACAAAATGTGAGGTTTGTCTAGGCATGAATAACTGTAATGACTGTTACATATTGAGTGTATGTAGTAACTGAGGGCCAAAGGTACTGGACTTCTAAAACTTGGACTTTATACAACTTATCACCTGTCAAAAAATTCTTAGCACTTAGTACCTATTGATTAAATACAATATGCTTATACTCCTTAAGGGGGAAAATGTTACTTGTTCAACTTGTTTCCTAACCATGGGTTGAAAATTGAGTTGTGGTTCTTTTAGGGAACACCAGACCTTCATATTATTCTTATAATGGTGGGAAATTTCATCCATTAAGATAGCCCTAGAGAACTGATTCTCCTCCTCTCAGTCTTTATATCATGTTGTAAAAGGAGGGATCTGTCTTTCCAGAGTCTCTAGAAGACCTTTTTTAGTACCCTGCACTGTGAAAGGGAATTATTTAATATATGCTTAATCATACTGTTCTCCCTTAGCAAATGTTTTATCCTCAAGCAATGATCTGCTCTTAGTTTTTAAAATGTTTTTGTATAAATAATCCCCAAATCTCCTTTTTGTTCATTTAGTCCCAGATCTCTTATTATATCTTTATAATGCCACTTATTTGGGTGTTTATAAAATCAGACTTAGACTAAATGAAAAAAGGTTCACTCGTGTGGATACTGAATCCAAATTTTAGTTTTCATTTAAGAGCCTATTCCACTTTAGAGTGAGCTGCAGTATATATGACATCTCTAGTTACCTGGTTACTATTAACCTTTGTTATGCATGTCTAAGGTGAAAAGCAGGCTAATAAAGATAGACCTTTTTTTTTTTTTTTTGGTTTGTGAGGTCTGTTCTCCCTCTATATCCTTGAAGAAAGTGAGTCTTAGTATAGCAGGGAAACACTGTAAAAGGAGCTATTATTATTTTCTTCATTTTGTGTCTGAAGAAACCTAGATACAGAGAAGTTAATTTGACCAAGATCACAGAGTCATACATGGTAGAACAAGGGTTCAGACACAGAGAAGCTAACTCTAGAACCCATGTGAACTCTTAGTATTAGACCACCTGTCACTGTATTTGACTCATTTTCCTGAAATGCCAGTTTTATTAAAATGTTTGGAGGAAAAACTGTTTTTATATTAAACAACATATGTTGTAATTAGGAATACAAAATTCACATTAATTTTTAAGATGCAACTCTTACACTTCAAAATATGATTTGCTCAGTTATAACTGTAGAATCCTAGGCTTCCCCACCCTTGTATAATTCACTCTCCCTTGTTTCAAAGCCCCTTTGGTGGAATTATTTGAGAAGTATTCTCGTATTTTGTATGAATATCAAACATTCTCATATTCGTTCCAAACAGCAACAAAACAGTCGCAATCACAGTGAAGAATATCTTATATTCTTTGTTCCACACACTTAACCCTCCCTCGTTATTTTTTCTTCTTTTTTCTGGTTTATTCTCTGTTTCACTGAAAACCTCTGCTAGGGCTGAAAGTGTCTCTTCTTTATGATATGTCGCTAATTAAGAGAATGCAGTTACTGGTGTGCTAAGTGGCAATTCAATTCTAAATATTCATAAACAACCTGTTTTCTTCTATGACTAGTTCCCCTGAGACCTCCTGAAATTAGTTTGACAAGTCGAAGTCCCACTGATATTCTCATCTCCTGGCTGCCAATCCCTGCCAAATATCGGCGGGGCCAAGTGGTGCTGTATCGCTTGTCTTTCCGCCTAAGTACTGAGAACTCCATCCAAGTTCTGGAGCTCCCGGGAACCACGCATGAGTACCTTTTGGAAGGTCTGAAACCTGACAGTGTCTACCTGGTTCGGATTACTGCTGCCACCAGAGTGGGGCTGGGAGAGTCATCAGTATGGACGTCACATAGGACGCCCAAAGCTACAAGCGTGAAAGGTGAATTTCTGAAGACTGTTGAGAAAAGATAATACAGTATTTTTACTTTTGAATCAAGTTTTTCTTCTCGAAATTATGTTTATATTTTTTAAATTTTGTTTTATAAATAAAAATATTCCGTAGGTGATGGACTTAATTGAACAAAATTAAACTTTTTATTAAGTGGTTGCTTTTGCATAGAGTTTATTTGTGTGTAAACTTTTTGGTTGTGCTGTTAGCAAATCTCTCGTGGACAGATCAATACAAATCAAACTCAGTTTCCAAAGTAAGCTATTCGTAGAAGCCTAATTAATATTATTGCCATATATTTTTAAAATCCTTAGTTCAATAGGAAGAGTATAGGACTGCAAAATTCTAGACTCTTCTGTTTTACTAATGTGGAATGTAACATGACTGGTTTTCTTGTTAATTGACTGACAAGAGTGTCTGTTCTCTATATCACAGAGGAGTAATGGATGGCCAAAATTAGAAAGTATTTATTGCCCCTTTGGAAAAAAATTAAATATGTAGATATCATTATTTAGATATCTTGGTCTTTTTAAGATAGTATTTTATATATTTTAAATTTTGATCTCAAAGTTTAATATTATTGTGAAATTTGGAAAGTTAGGTTACGGTATAATTATTGGATTGACCCTTTTGGTAATTGTTTGCTTAAAACTGAGAGAACTACCCTATTCTGTGTCTTTATGTGGATGTTGGGTTGTTTATACATACATTTTCTGATGAATTTTACTAGCCCCTAAGTCTCCAGAGTTGCATTTGGAGCCTCTGAACTGTACCACCATTTCTGTGAGGTGGCAGCAAGATGTAGAGGACACAGCTGCTATTCAGGGCTACAAGCTGTACTACAAGGAAGAAGGGCAGCAGGAGAATGGGCCCATTTTCTTGGATACCAAGGACCTACTCTATACTCTCAGTGGCTTAGGTGAGTGAGTTTGTACTGTACTTTTCCCTTTTTCCTTCCTCTCTGACCAACTGGGAAAAAAGTTACTGGATAGAAAGCAGGAGAACTGACTTAATGGTACAAAGAAAAGAATTGATTTTACTATGTCAGTGTGTATATGCTACTGCCGAAGCCAGTGATTGGTCTTTGACTTACCATTGTGAGTCCAGTGGCAAAATATCAGGCAGCCATTGTATCTTTCTATCTTTGTCCAGCTCTGCAAATCTGCTTTTCTTTGTGGAGGTCACTTCTGGTAGATTGAGTTCCTGATCAATTATTGTGAGTGTGTGGTGGATGTAGAATAGGAATTACAACAGGGATATCACCAAATAATATTCAGTGGTTAAGTTTCAATTAAAATGTGCCTGAGAGTGCTATATAATTGCTATATAATTATGAATTAGGTATAAAATAACTGAATATTTATATAACTGTAACCCAGGAACACTGGGAAAAAGCACTTAACTTTGTGATTGAGTTCATCAGTGTTCCGAAAGACACAATTTTATTCCCTAGTCTTCCTATCTTTGTAGAGTGAAAGGAATTTCATGATGTAAGCATGTTTAGTAGAAAGTAATGTGTATCCAAAATGAATACATGGGCCGGGCATGGTGGCTCATGCTTGTAATCCCAGCACTCTGGGAGACCAGTATGGGTGGATCTCTTGAGGTCGGGAGTTCAAGACCAGCCTGGCCAACATGGTGAAACCCCGTCTCTACTAAAAAAATACAAGAATTAGCTGAGCATGGTGGCACACGCCTGTAATTCCAGCTACTTGGGAGGCTGGGGCAGAATAGCTTGAACCTGGGCAGAGCTTGAAATGAGCCAAGATCACGCCACTATACTCCAGCCTGGGTGACAGTGCGAGACTCTGTCTCAAAAAAAACAAAACAAAACAAAACAAAACATGGATATAAACTGATAAAAACTCATCAAGATATAAAGTACACTTAGCTATTTGTTGCTCATAAGTAGATTTTTACCCTTAAGTACAAAGCAGTCCCTTTAATTATGATGACCAACCTGCTAAATACCTACTGAATTGTTACACCTTCTGGACATATTAGGATTTTACAAAGCACTCTGGCTTTTCCTTTCACAGACTGCCCTGTGAAGGGGAGGGGAGGTAGGCTCAGCAGTCCAACCGTGGGCTTCTCCATGTCCTTCCCTGGCCTCACGGTAGCACAGGCTGTGAAAGCAGCGTTGGATTTGAGTCTCTGCACAGTAAGAAGCAGTGGTGGGAGACTGTTTTCAGATGCAGGGACACAGAACTTCATCCTGTGGTTCTATGCAGATTTCCAGATGGTATTTTGCTTATAATCTCATTATGTTGGTTCTTAATTTAATCTGCATTCGGTTAAATAAGTTTCACTATTGATCTCTGTCACACAGTTTTTTCTTTTCTTTTTTTTTTCTTTCGTGTGTGTGTGTGTGTGTGTGTGTGTGTGTGTGTGACGGAGTTTCACTCTTGTTGCCCAGGCTGAAGTGCAATGGCACGATATCAGCTCACCGCAACCTCTACTTCCAGGTTCAAGCGATTCTCCTGCCTCAGCCTCCCAAGTAGCTGGGATTACAGGCATGTACCATCATGCCCAGCTAATTTTGTATTTTTAGTAGAGACGGGATTTCTCCATGTTGGTCAGGCCGGTCTTGAACTCCCAACCTCAGGTGATCCACCCACCTCAGCCTCCCAAAATGTTGGGATTACAGGCGTGAGCCACCATGTCCAGCCTGTCACACAGTTTTATAAATGGTGAGGAGAAATTACTTATGTTCCACCTTCCTTAAGCCATTGATACTGAGATGACATTAGCCCAACCTACTGCCACTGAAGCCAGCAACATTTATTCCTAGTTGTGGCTTCTCAGTGTTCTGTCCCTTTCCCTGCAGATTATTGATTCAAGAAAATTTTGCTTAGTTATTACATAAGAAACATGATTTGGGACAATTGTTGATGAAGAATCATAGATCAAGCTTACTACTTCTCATTTTCTGTTAAAGAAAATATGAATATATAGAAGATACAAAAAAGTACATTCTTAGCATGCTCTTTTACATCACAGGGAGCTTATTCTCAATAGGTGACTAATTTACTAGAAAAAAAATTGGGTTGTGAAAAGTTTAGAGAGACATTTTATTAAAACTTTGGCCATTCTTCAAAATTTTCTACAGATACATACATACATATATATACACACATACAACGCATGTATGTATGTATTTATTTATAATGAGGAAGACCCATTGATCTTTGCTGAACTTTTTAAATCATCTCTGAACTATGGTCAACTTTCAAAACTTTTATTTTCTCTTATGTTTTAAAATTAAATCATATATTACTGCCCTTGTTTTTATGTTGTGAAATCCACTGTGTATGCTATTTGAGGCGAACCCATTTAAAATCACTTCTAATGCATCAACTGGGAAATTATTTTGTCAGTATACGATGTCTATTAAAATAGCTGCATGTTTCCTGACTGTGGAATTAGATTGAGTGGTTGGACTGATTGCAGTTCAGGATAACAGAGACCTCTAGCAGCTGTAGAGACTTCCTTGTTAGACAGCAGGTTCCGCACCCCTGGAGCTACCAAGTCAAGGCTGGAATGGCTGACTGGCAGAGATGCAGTTGTGTATTCAAGCATTGTGCAGCTGTTGACTGGATCACCTTTAAGGTGCCTTTTCATCTTGGGACCCCTATGGTCTAGTCTTACTTTCCTAGAAAGTCAATGCTGGGGCCTTGCCAAACTTAGAGCAGTCAAATGCGTTTAACTCACTAAGCAGGCAAGTGTTAGCAGCTATCCTTTCCTTTTCTCTTTTGAATATTGGGAGGGGAGTATGTTCTGTTAACTGGACAACTGACCATCTGTGACCATTTTTAGTGAGAGCATCTGGCGGTAGCTGCCTGTTTAACAGAGAGTGATGTGTCTGGGGGGCATTAGGTTAAGGGAATCCTATCTGTGTCTTGCATGGTGAATACTTGCTTTCACTGAGCTTTTGCACATTAAAGATACTCTAACTGGAGCTAGATTTGCTAAGTAGGCCTGGAAATGAAATTTAAATGCTTCTTTTTGCTGATTCAATGTCAATTTGAGTAACAAACTAGTGTCTCAAAATTTCATTTTCATACTAATCCCCTTTCTGATGCCTTTATACACATCTTTTTATTTTTACTTGTGATAATTAAATTTTCAGTTTAAAAAGTATATTATAGGGACATACTCTCCTTGGTAATAAACACAGTTCTTTGTTTCTGGAAGAAAGAAAAAGATGAATGAACTTATATATTTCAATTCATTTAACAAGCATTTTCAAATATTTTTCTGAGACATTGTAGTACTACATAAAAAGGTGTGACAGATGTAATCTCTGCTTAAAACGAAATATTAAACAAAAGACATTTAATTGAGTGATTTTTCCAATATCGGCACAAATTTCTAGTGAACTAAATTTAATTATACTTAGCAATGAAAGTTATTTTAGAACTTTTTACTCTAAAACCTCAAAGCTCAGTTCCCTAGATGTAGAGTTTTTTTAAAGTAGCTAAAAAGATTATTGTGTCTTTCATAGTATAATATAAATATTGGCAGAGTGATGGAAATACTTTGATGTTAGCTTGTTTGATTTTGATGACTTAAAATGTAGTTTGATTTTAATTAGAACTGGTTTACTTTGTGGGGTTGGAAAAAAGCATTAGACTTGGGATTTAATACATTTGTGTGATTTGTTGTAAGTGGTGGTTTGAGACTTTGTATCTTTGTGGTGATTAATTTCACTTTGATTTTTTTTCCCCTAGGCACTTTCAATGTTTAGCTCCGTCGTAAGTAGGATTTTTAAATACTTGTTATATTCATCACACAATAAACTGAAGCAGAATTACTAACATACTTGTGTTCCCTGATAATTGATTGAAATAATTTGTTCCTCTTTTTTCATCTGTTGATTTCAGAAATTGGCTTTAATTTCTGAAGTTAGCTTATAATTACAAAGGAACTGTTTTCACAAGCTGTCAACTGTCCTGAATTATTAAGTCTTTATATAAAAGAATGAAAGGGGGCAGATTTTTAGGTAGTACTGTTGTCAGATTAACATTTAGGACACTGGTGTTAGATCATCTTTAGCTTTTATTTTGCCAAAGAACTTGAGCTTGTTCATTATTTTATTTAATTTTACAGTAAGCATGATTAGTGTGAGCATGAGATTTCACACCAATTATAAATGAATAATTAAAATAATAAACTATACACTACAGCATTTTATTTATTTATTTGAGGCGTAGTCTCACTTGTCAGCCAGCCTGAAGTGCAGTGGTGCCATCTCGGCTTAATGCAACCTCCACCTCCCAGGCTCAGGCAATCCTCCCACCTCAGCTGGGTCCTGAGTGGCTGGGACCATAAGTGTGCGCCACCACACCGGGCTAATTTTTGGTATTTTTGATAGAGATGGGGTTTCGTTCTGTTGCCCAGGCTGGTCTTGAACTCCTGGGCTCAAGCCATCCACCTACCTCAGCCTCCCAAAGTGCCGGGATTGTAGGCGTGAGCTACCACGCCCAGCCTTACTCATTCTGTCAGTCACAAAATAAATTTATTTAACTGAACTCAGTAAACTTCTTTAAAGGAATACTTTTGGAAACTACCTGCCTTGTAGACTAGAAAACTAACTTGACAAAAGTGTGAGTACAAATTATAACAAAAGAGAACATTTAAAAACTATTGTATTTCACTTTCTTCACTATGAAATATTTTTAAGTTACCCTTTCTTTTGTTGTGTTTAACATATTATTATGCCAAAATATGTTGAAACTTCAACATAGACTTTTTTCTTAATTTGCCAATAAAGCAGAAATTTTTGAATATTTCATTCTCTGCAGTATCTTAAAGTATCAAATATGATTGATACTCAACTCAAATTTTAGAACTTAATATTTGAAAAATTCAGAAACCAATACTGCAAAAGAAATGAAGTATTTGCTTCTAAAAAAAAAA